CGGCGGCGGCTGCAAGAGCAGGCGAAGGCCCGCGAGCTGCGGAAGCGGCAGCAGGAGGCGCCTCTGCTGGAGCCGGAGCGGGGAGAAAGCGAGCTCGGGGGACGCGCCGGGGACTCGGCGTCTAAATCTGCGGACGAATCCCGGGGAGCGAGAAGAAAGAGGAAGGCGGAGCGCGAGGAGGATGCGGGCGCAGAAGGCTGCGGCTCCCCGGGGGGACGGGCACGCACAGAGGCGGCGGCGGCGGCGGGTGGCTGCCCCCCCTCAAAGAAACGAAAGAAGCAAAATAGGAGAAAAGCAAGCGCGGCCCAAGAGAGGACTGAAGCAGGTAGTGGTAAGCTGGGTCTGTAGCACCTTGGTGCTTTGTGATGGGCACTTCTCCACAGAGAAGTGGACAAAAGTTGCCTTTTGATTAATTTGCTAAATTTAGCTGATAATAAATTGTATCTTCATCTGTTTAATGTGTTCCCAGAGCAGGTCTTGTAGCAGTAGAAAGCCCCTTACTGTGAACTTTTGAAACCAGTTTAATTTAAGGGAAGGAGGGAATTATGTCACTTCTGTCTTCAATTGTCTTAATGCAACCAAAGCAGCAGTGAGCTCTTGTGCTTGGATTTAGGAAGCAAGACACGCTCATGGATTGTTAATTAAGTTTTGCATTGTGGTCTGTTCCCTGTGTTTCTTGTTTAATGTATTCTCATCTCCAGCTTTATTTATTCATTACCCAAACTCCAGATTCCCAAGAAGCCACTGAGCAACAGGAGAACAGGAGTAACCTAGGAAATAAATATGGTAAAAGGAGGAAGAAGAAGGATGAGGAAACTGAAGGAGCTGAAAAAAACAAAGAAAACAGTGAAAACACTGAAGGAAATCAAAGTAGAAAGGAAGAGCTGTCCATAGCTGCCTTGGAGGAAGAGGCAAAACCACCACCTTCTAGTCTTGTGGTTCTTGGCGACTATGACAGAAAGCCAGTGCAAAAGGTAAATAGCTTTACTGAATTCTGATGAAGTCAAAGAATGGAAGAGGCCATTTATCAGCTTATTTTAGGTACTGTATTGCCTGCTTCATACCAGAAGCATTTCTTATTTCTTGTCTTCCCACCTCAGGTTCATCCCTTCTTACCACAGTGGCTTGCTCAGCCTAAACTAGTGCAAAAACGTATCAAAGAAAATCTAGTTCCAATCCGAGATGTCCCAGGAATTCATCCTAAACTGTTGAAGAAGCTGCAAATGAATGGAATAGAGTCCTTTTTTCCAGGTACCTTAATTGTACCCTTGTCTTTTTCTAAATTGACTTAGTTTAATCTGTTTGTTTGTGTATCTCTTCCAATGAGATATGTATTTTGCTTAGTTAGCTGTGTGAAAAATAGGGCAAAAGCAAATTTGATGTTTTTGCCTGATCACAGCAGTTCCAATCCTTCACTTTCAAAGACTTGCCTGGGATAAGAAGTTGAGAGCATTTAACTAATCTTAAATGCAGCTGGAAAAGATAGTGACCTAAAGTCATATCTTTCAGTTGCCAAAAGAGGGAGCTCTTACTCATGTTCTTTTTTTCTCCCCTTTGCTCCCAGACATGTTTTATTTCCTTACTGTGCACAGTCTCTGCTGCTAATTGGACCATAATGAGAACCTGCTTAACTAATTGAAATAGCAGAAACCTATCCAAGCAAACAAACAAATAAATAGCTCTTTTTCTGTTATGTTACCTATTTTACAGATAGGTGCTATTGTACCAGTGCTAGTGCCAGCACCTAAATGTGTAGATGAAGCTTGTGTTTCCAGAGCTGGAAGCAGGGGTGACAAGAAGCAGCAGTGGGACAGAAGGGAGGGGAATTGGGATCTCCTGCCTTCAGCTGTAATAAATTACTAGCTCAGATTGACAGCACCGAGCCTGCAGTCTTAGACTATCAGATTTACCCAGACTACTTGAGTGCATGAGGACAGCAGAACAGGTATGGTTATAAAAATATTTAACATGGTAACATGCAAGTTAAGAATTAGAAATGGTTAGATTCTAGGAGAGGAAAATGTCTTGTATTCAGTGCTAGGTTCACATGAGTGAAAAAGAAACAGATAAACCCAGGTAGTCTTCTCTTTAGTTTTATGTTCCTAAGCACAACTACTGACATGGAAACAAGTTCATTGCTATATTTTTGGGGATAGACTGAGTTTAAGCTTAGTTCATTAACTTCTGTAGTTAATACTTCTTTTTAATTCCAGTTCAGGCAGAGGTGATCCCTGCTATTCTCCAGAGTGCATCCAATGGGTATTTGATGGGGCAGGGAGGATACCGCCCCAAAGACATTTGTGTCTCAGCACCTACTGGCAGTGGTAAAACCCTGTCTTTTGTCATACCTGTAGTCCAGGTGAGTACCCACAGCAGATGTCTGTAGCGAAAAAAGTTAAAGCTGCGTTTCTTTCGCAGCAAAATTTGGGAAGCTTTTAGAGGTAGTTCAAAAAGTCAAAGAATTTGTGGACATAAACCACCAGATTTTAGCTCAGAGCTGTCTAAGAAAGCAGTACAAGCCCCTTCGTCTCTGCATCCCATTCCCTTTCACAGATGGAAGGCACAGTGCAAAGGGTTGGGAGGATAGAGAGGAATAAAATGGAAACAGTTCTGGGGGATGCATTGCGCCCATCTCCTCAGTGCCTCAGGTATGAGAATCCTCTTTCCACTGCTTTCAGGGGCTTATTTGGCCTTTGTTTTGGCAGGCTCTGCTAGATCGAGTGGTTTGCCAAGTACGAGCTCTGGCGGTTCTGCCCACAAAAGAACTGGCACAACAGGTATGTGGCTCTTCTCCCTCTCTCTGAGCAGAACTGGGATGAGGGAAAGGCTTCTGCTATGAACATTTCATCTGACTGCTCTGTGGTGACAAGCCTTTTAATGGGTTTGATGTTAGTAGTGTAATAGCTTTAACTGATTTCATTGTGACTAAAAAAACCCACCTCTTCTTTACAGGTGAGTAAAGTATTCAACATTTACACTGATGGTACAGGTCTGAAGGTCGTTTCTCTTGCTGGCCAGAAATCTTTTGCAAAGGAGCAGGAGATGCTTGTCCAGAAAAAGTAGGTTAAATGGCCTTTAGGTAAAGTTTATAGAGTTTGTCTATTAACTATTTAATCTCAATAAACAGAGATCAACATAAAAACTATTGCATAACATCACCACATGATAGTGATTTTAGTGCATTTGTGCTAAACACATCGTTTAATCTTCGTCAGGATGCCTACTACTACCTCTTTGTGATTTTTCTGGTGAGGTTGCCAAAGTATAAGTAATGCTTGTAAAAAGGAGAAATACCTGTTAGAAGTGTCTGCCATGTTCACTAGTCAAATAAAACAGGTCATAAGCAGAATGGCCCTTGTCATGAAATGCCCAGCACTGAGTTCTTTTTGTTGTCTTGGTTTTGTAAGGTGGTAACAGACTTTCAACCTTTATCCCAATGTACTGTTCCATCAGAGAACAGAGCTGAAACTTAAATATTATTGGAAAAAACTTACCCATAAAAAATTCTCCACTGCAAGGGGAGTCCTATTACCATGTGTTTGGTAACATTTGGTAAAATGAGGTTTTGCTTCAGTTAAACTTTCTCCTATAAAACGAGGAATATTCCTTTCTGCTTCAAATGAAGTAGTGTAACAGAGAATAGAGTTTAGTCTGCAGCACTGCCTTGCATGCTCTTCAAGGTAAATAGAGGTAATAGTGTATTTGAATTTTATTATTTCTCTGTTAAGAGAAGGCTTAAGTTCTGCTCACCAAGGATCTCTGCTACATGGCTGCAGGGAGGAAGTTACTGACAGGCTGTTTGCTTTTTCAGAGTGACAGGCTACTGCAGCCTGGCTGATATTATTGTGGCTACACCTGGGCGGCTCGCAGATCACATCAGCCAGACCCCAGGGTTCAGCCTGACACAGCTTCGCTTCCTGGTGAGTCAGCTCCGTGGTCTCCCACCTCAGTGCAAGGTCTGTTACATCAGTAATTCCCTCCTTGTGCAGCTTATAAATGTATTTGTGTTGGAAGTGCTGTGTGGTCTTCGTGCACATTCTGGATTGCTAAGGTTTTTTTCCCCAAGTCCTGACTCCCAAGTGGCCTCCTGCTTCCCCTTTTCTATTTCCCCTTGCAAATGCATAGTAAAACCTTGGCAAATATTAATCAAAACTCAGGGTTTCAGGGTAAATTATCAGACTGTAGTAGTTTACAAGTGTATGGGAGTCTGTACAGACACACAGTTGCTGTTCAGGATGTGGAGATTTTTCTCTTACTTAAATGCATAGACTGAGTTTAAGTGCAAAAGAATTTATGTGTAATTTGAGTGCCAGGTTGACTACTGAGCAATCAGAAAAAAAAAAAAAGTAAAAATTTTATTTAGGAATAGAAAATGAGACACTTGTCCTTATTTGAGGAAGGAGGGGGAAAGAGCATAATTGTGTTGAGTAAAAGTTTCCACGCAGTCTGAAGACTGCAGTTGTCTTATACAAAATTATTTCTGTAGCCTATATTTCAGGCAACAGTATCTTACATTATGGAAAAACTGTTAGAGAAATAGAAGGAAAATAAAAGCTCTGTAGCACCAGACAGTATTTAACAGTTGTGTATTTTGTCCCTGTAAACTCAGATCATAGACGAAGCTGACCGTATGATTGATGACATGCACCAGAACTGGCTGAACCAAGTTGTCAAAGCTGCATTCCAAGCAGATGACAACTCTGGCTCCAACAGACTTTTTCATAGGACCCTACCAGGGCCTCTCACAGCAGCCAGGTGAGTTGCACTATGCACTTTGAGCTGGTAGAACAAACGACAGCACCGAGATGCCGTCATACTCTGCCAAAGCCTGCTGGCTCAGTGAAGTGTCTGCCAAACTAAGGCAGCTACTTTTCCATAGCTTGAAAGGGGCTAAGGTGGGGGCAGGGGTGGCTAGGAGGCAAAGATGGGGGTTTGGACAGTGAATGCAGTTGTGTGGTAGGTTTCACAGTGTTGATCGGATTTGTATGAACTGTCTGTCTCTAGAAAAGAAACAACAGGAAAGGCGCAGGCCTGGGAAAAAGCTTCAAAAATATATAATTGCTTCCCTCACATCATCATCTGAAAACCCTTCTAGAGGAATTCCTTTGCTGTGCCCTCAAAGCTCAGTTCCTGTGCTTTATTTCAGCTCCAGTCATCCTCAGATACCCTTACAGAAGCTGCTGTTTTCAGCCACACTAACCCAGGACCCAGAGAAGCTGCAGCAGCTGGGCTTATTCCAGCCACGCCTCTTCACATCTGTCTATTCTGAGAAAAAACTTGGAGATGGAGCAGAGGCTGAACAGGATGCTGATGAGAAATACACCCTGCCTGAGGGGCTGTCGGTATGACATGGGCTTCATTTCATAGCTGCTTTAAAAAAAACACCTCTCCATGCAGAATTAGATTCACGAGCAATAGGAATGGAGATTGGAAGTAAGAATAATGTATGACACCTCAGAGGTCCTTCTCAAAGCCTGTGTACAACGTTGCTTCCCAAAGCCTGGGAACACAGGTCGCATTTGCTTCTCAACACAAGAACACAAGCATGTTCTTCCTTGCCATAGGCAACAGTGAGAACACTAGACCACAGGTCTGCAGCTCTACCTTGTATCTTCCCGGTACCTAACTGTGGCTTGTTCTAAAGGGGGTGACAGTGTGGGGTCTGGTTTTGTTGGTTTTGGTCACTAGCAAAATCTCCAAGCCTATGGAGGTCTTGGAAAAGCAGTAGGCTTTGGAGCAGGTAGCTTGGTAAGAAGTAGTCACTGTATTTGATTTTCTTCCCTGTCTGCTGCAGCAATGTTATGTGCCTTGTGACCTGAATTCCAAGCCTTTGATCCTCTTGCACTTCATGCTGAAAATGAAATTTAGCCGGGTGTTATGTTTTACCAACTCCAAGGAGGCTTCCCACAGGTGACTATATTAGTAAAATGACTGCAGTAGCTCTGCATTGGATAAGGGTAGTAAGTTGAGTAAGTGACGGTTTCTATTGCACCTACCTACAGGTTGTTCCTGCTTATTCGAGCCTTTGGTGGAGTCACTGTGGCTGAATTTTCTTCCCGTTTGCCTCCAAATGAGAGACATAGAACCATGAAGGAATTTGAACAAGGAAAAATACAATTGTGAGTATCCTAAATGAGTTTCTTTTGACATAGGCTGTTGCCAGTGTGAAAAGCACATTGGAACCAAAAACACATTTACACAGGCTGCCCTGTGAAGTTGAACATACAGCAACCAAATTGTGAAATAGATGGAAGACTTGAGCTTGCAATTTCTGAAGTATGTTAATACCTACATATAATCTGGTCTGTTTTAATCTAGCTGTAGTCTGTGTTTATATGTGTTATTTTATAACAAGCAATAAATGTAACTGCCTGTTGGTATTGCTGCCTGAAACACATGGAGTTCCAGAAATGTTAGATGTGATCAGGTGTTCAGTGGAATGAAAATGAATGTTACTGCCAGAACCATGTATAGCATTTATGCTTGCTGCCATAAATGCTACATATATTTCTGGCAGTAACATCAATTTTTATGCTTTCTACCATAAATGCTAGAAATGGGAGCTGCCAGGATCAGCATTCCGTGCTCGGAAAACCTGGAAGCAGCCAGTAGCTTTCAGTGTACAACAGTAGCTGAGTAGCCTGGAGTGATCCTTGAAGATCTGCAGGTGGCTAATGCTGTCAGTGACACTAGGGAGTGACTTACAGTGTTAGTCCTGTGCTCAGCAGACAGATTTTTAAAAAGAGGTGAGCAAACTTAGTGCTGTATTCACTTGTATCTATACTCTGTAGTGCAGAAGGCATTACTTGAAAATAACTATGTATACTTTTAAAAACAGGTTAATCAGCACAGATGCCACTGCTCGAGGAATCGACATTAAGGGAGTGAATTGTGTAATAAACTATGATACTCCTCAGTTCATCAGGACATATATTCACCGGTAAGATAATCAGCAACAGAAGGAATCAGTGTCAACTTAGTTTACTATTTTGAAATATTTGGTAATATTAACCCCCATTTAAAGGGGTTTTAGTACTGGCTTTTTAAATTTTTTTTTCCTTTGATATGCAAATAGCTTTCCAAACAAAATTCAACATATCATTACCAGAGTAAGATAGTTCTAGAATAGAGGATCAGCACCCTACTATATAAAATATATTTTTCAGAAGCTAGAAATATTTTTCTGGACAGTGTCAAGAATTGGCTTTCCAGACGCTCAGAAAACTCCAAAGGCTTTGCAGCTGTGAATGACTCCTAAAAAGTTCATCTTTTGTAACATATAGTAAGACCTGCTGCTGTGACCTCCAACTCAGAGTTCTCCACATCTAGAGAATTTGAGGTTCTCTTGGAGTTGATAATGGGAGTGACTGCAGGGCTAAACTCATTTACATGCTCCCTTTTCTGATTTCAGGGTTGGAAGAACGGCTCGTGCAGGAAAAACAGGCTTAGCTTTCAGCATGGTCCTTAGAATTCAGGTATGTCATTGATGAGGGATCTGTTCTGAAGAGAAGCAGGGAGGAGCAGGAGGAACACAGGGTTCCTATCTCCTGTCTTCTCCAGTCGGCTGAGCTTTGCATTTTGTTGTAACTTTCTATTCAGTTATTTCTCCACTGGGTAACACTGTTAGAAACGTGCTCATTTTCCAGCTCACAGGAGACTAGGCCTGGTCCTTGTCTCACCTCTTCCTCTGTGTCTGTTGTGTTGCGCAGGAGCGCAGGTTTCTGCGGATGCTGAAGGATGCCGGCATCACAGACATAAAGCAGCACTTGGTGAAGGGCAAGCTGTTAAAGCCGTTGGTGCAGCAATATGAAGAAGCTCTGTCTAAGCTTGAGAAAACGGTCAAGGTAATTGCAACAGGGAAGAAAGCAGAAAATGAAATTGCAACTTTAGACAGTTCATTGCAACCCTTGACCAACATAGGTTGGTTAGTGTCCAGAATCCTTTTATTTAACTGAAATGCACTTCAGAGCCAATGTAGAATATCAGGGTGTATCATTATAAAATAATTGTAAAAGGTAGGGAAGAGAGAAGGAGGTTCTCCAATTAAACAAAAAGTAGGCAATATTTATATTCCACTTTCTATTCTGCCTCTCTCTCTATTAAGATTTTGGCAGCTGAAAGAATGCAGACAAATACAGAGATTAAGCATTTTGCCATTACAGAGTTTTAACACTAATTTACAATCATGCTAACTAGAAGTTGTGTTTTCCCAAATGGGAAAGTATTTTCTGCTGATTCTCCCTTAAAGCTGAGGGGGCAGGTTTTGAGCTTTCTGGCAGAATTTGCCTGGTGAATAGACTAGGGATCCATGATAGACCTTTTGTGCTCTGCGAGTTCTTTCAGAGTTCTGCTCTCTATTTACTCTTCTGAAACAAAAGCAAAGTTTTTTAATGTCTGTCCCTGAAAAATATGATTTTGAGTTGCAGATTAAGGGTGTTAGAGAACTTAGGACAGAATTGTAGTTACTAAATTGTTGCATGAGCTCTTTCTGTGTGACCCTGAGACAGTATCTTCCGTCACATTCTTGATTTTCATTTTGAACAGGGTGAACGAGCACAGAGACGAGCCTGAGTGAATGCAGGCAGAGGGGATCATGTGCTGTGGCATTGAAGCCAAGCTGGGTAGGTGACAGACTGCACTGCAGAGCACTGTGGCAATGAGAGGGTTCCCGAGCTGAAGGGTTGGCTCCTCCTTCGTCACGTGCCAAGTCTGCTGTTGTGAACTTTGCTCCCATTTCAAGCGTGGGGGAAGAGATGTTTGCTTTGGTGTACAAAAAAAAGGAAAGAAACTGCCTTCTGGAGAACTTGGCATCGTATCCTACCTCTCCTTCTGGTGTCTTCAACCAGTGAACAGAAGAGCCTTCTACAGCCCTGCAAGAGGGGCCTGATGGAACAGCCACTTGCCAAAGGCAACCACTGTCCCATTCCTGCCTCCAAACCTGGAGAAATAAGGCTTGTCTTGCTGCACGAGCAATTGTATCTGCACATGCAGAAAGCTTATACAGTGCCTATAACAGACTGCTGTTTGAACAGCTTTTGTAGGGTGAACTGCAACTTTTAAATACTATATACATCTTTTAAAAATAAAAATTCACTATCTATTAAAGATTCCTATGTACAGAGGAAGAGAAGGGGGTGAGGAGAGTTTTGTGTTTCTGTTCTTTCCTCTTCTACCATAGGTATTTTAAAGTGTTAGGTTAGCGTTAATGCACACTAAACTAGTCCTGCACTCTCTGTCATTGCAAGCCCTAACTATCTGTGTGGCACATGCCATGGGTATTTATAGCTGCCCCTGGCATGAGCCTTGCAGCTGTTAGGAGTCTTGCCTACAGCTTCCAACTGTGTCGAGGGGATACAGAGCAGTTATGCAAAGTCAGGCATACTTGCACAAAAGGCAAAAAAAATGTATTTTTTCATTAGCACTACGTACCTGGAGCAGGATGAAGTGAGTAGGGAGAGGGGAAGGAGGTCTGGAAGGAAGCTGTGGGAAGAGATGGATGTGTGGAAGGGGAGGATAGAGAAACACCTGAAGTTACTCCTAACCATGAAGCAAGGGTGTCTTGGTGTCTGCAATCACAGAACCAGAACTGGAAAGATGTCAGGCCGTGTAACCTCCCTGGAGCAGGCAAAGCCTCAGCCTCTTGTGCACCCCTGTTCGTTGAGCACCCAGGGAACCATCCCCCTCCCTTTGCTTTTCCTTATCACCAAGCAATCAAGGGCCCCAGTGAGGGGCTCGGCCTGGCTGGAGTTTGCCCGGAGCCGGGCCGGGGCCGGGGCCTGGGCCGGGGCCGGGCAGCAGCGCGGGCCGCCCCTGTCCTCGCAGCCCTGCCGGGCGCTCTACCTCTTCGCCAAGAGCAACAACATCCCCTTCGAGTTCAAGCGCGTGGAGCTCATGAAGGGTGAGTGGGGCCGGGCCCGCGGCCTCCGCCCGCGGCCCGCTGGGCTCCCGAGCCGGGCCGAACAGGGCTCTGCAAAGGCACGTGGCACCTTCGCCATGGGCTCAGTCTCAGCGGAAAAGGGGTCTGGGAAAGAATAACCGCTTTTCCAAGAGGAAACTCTCCTCCAGTCTCTGCTGGAGCCAAGTCCGTGACTGTTTGAGAGATAAATAGGAGCTGGGAAGCTTGTGCACACGAGGGGACACCCAAGATGTGCGGGATCCCCAGCAACCTGCGTCCCCGTGAGCAGCTGCTGCTGGGACGGGCCTCTCTCCTCTCCCTAATCTACTGTTAACACCCCCGTGACAGCTCCCGGGCTGAGCTCGCTGCCCATCGCCTCATGGGGCCGGGCTCTCAGCTCCCCTTGTGCCAACTACAGTTAGCCAAAAACTACCCCTCACCAAGTAAGATAATTTAGACATTAAGATAATTTAGGGGACTTAAAAACACCCGAGCAACTAAAACTTAAAATACTAAAAGCTGAGAAGGCTTCTGGGGCTCAAATTGATAAAAAAAAAAAAAAAAACAAGGCTGCCGTTTGCTGCTTCAGAACTTCAAGCGCGTTGTGGTTTAAGCTCTAGGTTTCCCTTCATGCCTGAGCTGTTCCCTGGCTGCACGTTACAGTTTCTTTGCTCTTACTGATCTGTGTCTCAGTGTTTGCAGGACAGCTAGCTGGGATTAGCCCCCGCCTGCCCCCTTCCAGTAAATGGTTGTGATGACAGTGGTAACAACACGCAGGAGTGACTGGTAGTCAAACAAGGAGCATCACAGAGAACAGAAGAACTGGAATGAGTAGCAGGGATCAGACTGGAAGTGAGTTCAATCCCCGTTTCCTGATGCTTCATGCCCGCCAGCAGCAGTGTTTGCTCTGACCAGCACCCTAGGATTTGGTCAGTGGGTTTAAGAAAGGTAATTTGGCTTACAGGAATGCTAAAGGTGCATCTGATTCCTGCACCGTGTGTAACACTGTGTGGAGCTCCTCTCCCAGGATCTAGGTGCTGGACAGACGAGTATGAGCACACAGACCCCCAGATCAGCGCTTACCAAGACCTTGGGTATAAGAAAGCCCAGCTGGCCTTGCTGCAGTAGTGTGTGTCACTGTGCCAAGTAAGGGGACATGGACTGTAATTTATACTGCAGCTTTGTGAGGTTGGGCTCAAATACTCAGGAGCAGGTTGAGACTTAAAATGACAAAAAATGCCCTCCTAACAGCTTCATTCTCTGCCTTCCGTGTTTTGGGCACCTAAAAGCTATCTTGAAAGCAAAATCATATCCATATTTACTCTACTATACAATCTGCATATGCCAAAACTTGCACGTGGAGCTAGATTCCTGGGTTTGTACTTATGCACCCACCACTTTGTATTGAATCATTTAACCTTGCCTTTACCTAAGGGCCAAAGGGAGAATCAAACATAGATTACCACTTTTTCCAGAAAAAAAAAAAAAAAAACATTTCTCATTGTCTGTGTGGTTAAGCCACTTCATTTTGGATATTAATATTCCCCCCGCCAAGGAGCTCAGCATTCACTCTAGGAGTGTGTATTGCCTCATACAAGTGCCCTGGCAGGTACCTGCGAGCACAAGCTCAGGCTGTCACAGCCCAGGGCAGATCTGAATGGTGCCCTAACCAGTGTGACCTTCACAAGAGGCTTTCCTGGCATGCAGGCACCAAGGAGGCAGCTGACATCATTGGGCAAAGCCACTGCTTGCCCTGTGGCACCTTCTGATTGCTCATGAATTTAAACAGGACGGTGTTTGTGCAAACGGGGCTGGGGCCTCGAGGCCCGCAGGGTTTGCTGAGCAGCTCTGCCTCCTTCCCTGCAGGGCAGCACAAGAGCAAGGAGTTCCGCAAGGTGAACCCCATGATGAAAGTGCCGGCCTTAGAGGATGGTTCCTTCCTCTTATCGGAAAGGTGAGGCTCAAATATTGCTTATCCCGACTGCTTGGCCTCTGCCAGCGTACGGCTGGATATCCTTACGGGTACCACATGCCTCCTTCCCATCTCTTGGTTCCGTTTTATGAGAGACACTTAGAAGTGACTCAAGCAGCATTGGCCACGAAAGCTCTGCGAGCTGCAGCTCGGGGCTCTCCCGCGGGCAGCGCTTCAGGCCCGCAAAACCCCGGTGTGTGCTGCACCTCGGGACCATTGTGCATCCTGCCCTGGCACCTGAGCTGGGCCAGTTTGTACTGCTGCTGCTCCAGCAGCGCAGGATTCAGGATCGGGGAAGGACAAAGTATCTAATCTCATAATCTCACTTGGCTCTTGCTCTCCGTGTAGCATTGCCATCCTCCTCTACCTGGCCCGCAAATTCAAGACGCCCGATCACTGGTACCCATCTGACCTGCAGAAACGGGCCAGGGTGGATGAGTACCTGTCGTGGCAGCACGCCAACATCCGCGCCAAGAGCAGTGACGTGTTTGTATCTAAGGTAAGGCTCTTACCTAAGGTAAGGCTTTTACACTAAAAACTAAGTGCTAACAGCTGCGGCTTCCATGGTCCGAGAAGATATCCCTTGTGTGCAGGGATATCTCTAGGGCTTCTCTAAGGATCCTGGTGAGGGATCCTTAGAAGTCAGTGGCAGGGCTGAGTTAAGTTTGGATTGAAACATATAAAAAGCAGCATTTCTTTTCTCCCTGGTAGTTCATGCTGCCTGTCCTTGTCGGCCAGCCTCTGCCTCCGAAGAAACTTGAAGAAATCGTTGAGGAGCTGAACACTGTCCTGAAGCAGTTTGAGGTGCAGTTTTTGCAGGACAAGCCCTTCATCGCAGGCAGCGAGGTGTCCCTGGCAGACCTGGTGGCACTGGTGGAGCTCATGCAGGTGAGGCTGGGGCAGGCCCTGGTGCAGCTGCAGCACTGGCGCTTCTTATATGGCAGGTCTTCCCTCTGCAGCTAGTTGGAGTTTAAACTTGTTCCTTTTTGACTTTGACCACAACTGAGATTGTTTGTAAGGGAGCTTCTACTTTGATGAGAACTTGTTTTTATAGATTTATGGTCAAAAATTCTAGGTTTGACATTTTTTTCTATATAAAAAGAGAGGAATGACAAACTAGGCAGAGAGAGAGGAGGGGGAGGCTGAGGGAACAGCTCTTTTCTTTATAGCAGGACCTCGTGAGGGAAACTAACTCCATGTGTGTCTGAGGGGGCTTTTATATGGTCTTCATTTAGCCTTTTTTTAATGGCACAGCAGGGGCTTCCCGTCGCCAAACTGAAGCACTGATGCAGTGCCATCGTTGTCTAGAGATGCAGAGAGCCCTCTTGTATTTTAGGTGGGAACAATCTATTTGATTACCTTAAACTCTACCATGAGCAGTTTCATAAAGTGAACTACTGAAAGTACAGATATTTGGAAGAGACAGATTGGTCCACACGGACCTCTGTGTTCCTCCTGAGGACACTTTTTGGCTCAGCCAAGGGAAGGGTCTTTTGCTGTGAGTCCCATGGGACCGCAGCTGCTGAGGATGACAGCACAGGATTCCTCTTCCTACCTGCTAAGAACCAGAGATAAACCCAGGTGGGGACTATATCCTGGCTTGAACCAGAATCATCCATACTCTGGTCTGCTCCATCCTGCAAAGGGTTTGTCTGAGGCTTGCTGGAAACCCCGCTCTGAGGCTCTGTCGCTCTCTCTCTGCAGCCTGTAGGTGCTGGCCACAACCTCTTTGAGGAGAAGCCAAAATTAGCTGAGTGGCGCAGCCGGGTGGAAGCAGCGGTGGGGCCGAAGCTCTTCGAGGAAGCCCATCAGACAATCTTGAAAGCCAAGTACATGACTCCTGATAAAATTCCACCTGTGGTGCTGGAGGTTATCAAGAGCCAGGCCCTAAAGCAGATTGGCCAGGCTTAGGGGGTTGCACTCTAAGTAAAGGGGGTTATTTTGTGTGGGCTTATTGTCATATTTCAGCATTTCTTCTACAATCATACTAAAATGCCACTCTGCCAAATGCCCTTCCATCACAGCCTTTCTGCAACTTAGAAGAAAAGGAAACCACATGTTAGACTACAGTGAGCTGCTTCCCCTCCTGTCCGCTGCAGCTCCACAGGCTTCTCTCCCTTGCTGCAGAGCCAGTGGAGCTGCTTGAGGACTGGGGCAACTCCGTCCAAGGGACCTGGAGCTGGTCAGAAGTGCCTTTTTTTTGCCCCATTCTGAGTTTTTGCAGCAAAGCAACAAAGAAGAGGCAAAGATTTCCTGCAAGTATGACAGGCCAGGTCTCTCTGAACCTAGGTGAAAAAGGGGTGTAGAAGGTGGCCTCCCCATTGCAACAAGCCCCCTAGGAAGTTTTTTGCTCTTTCAATAAAGAGAGAGAAGCCAAAACCAGCCCCTGGATGGGGACCCTGCCCAGGATCATACTAGGTCTGGCTGCAGAGGTTCCTGCCTTAGCTGTTGGCACAAAAGGGGCTGTAGCCCATCAAGTGGGGTCACTCAGCACCCACAAGGATGCGAGTAGCAACAAAGCTCCTCGGGCCGTAATCTGCAGAGCAGCCTGCAGAGCAGGGAAGAGCTGCTTTTTTAACTGCAGCCTCTGCTGACCGCGCTGCCTGTCCTCAAGCCGTGCTGGAGCTTCGCTCCCCATTGGAGCTGCTTTGGGAGCTTGGGATATGGCTCATTCAAGGTGCTGGTGTTGCTGGGGTGGGGGCAGCTGCGCTGCAGGTGAATCTAGTGCCTTAAATAAAGCTAATGTCCTGCTCCTTTGTTGTTGCCTTGGATTCTCCAGTAGGAAGGAAGCAGCTGCTGAGTGATGCTCTCCGCCAGTGCAGCACCTCTTGTATCCTTCTCTGTCTGTGTTTCTTTGTTCCCTTCTTGCCCATCCCGTCCTGTCCCTGCAAAGTCCCAGCACCAGGTAAGGGAGAGGAGGAGCTCTGGTGTGTGTGACCGTTTTCCTCCGTGAGCGGTTGCACCTGGAAGCCTGGCTGTCTCCGTGCCAGGGTCCACAGCCAGTTCCGCCAGCCGTGGAGACGACCACGTGGCGCCGTGGGTGGCAGACCACGGTCATCCTAGCCCAAGCCAAGGCAGGTCTTTGAAGTGCAGATGGGGCTCATTGATCATAGATCAACTGAGCCATAAATGAAGGAGCAACATGAACCTGTGCTGCTAATTGCACTGCCCACCAAGGTCACAAGCGCTCACAGTGATATCTCCAGAGTGGGGACCCGTGATTGTTCTGAAGTACAAAGGCTTTTCTCACTGCGCCACCTGCGTGGGGCAACTTCCCACTCCTCCTCCCTGCTCCCACAGGGGTTAAGGTTTCCTCACAGCCCTGGCGAGCAGCCAGGAGCTTCACGGCTGGCTGGGACCACGTCGCTGCAGAAGCGGTGTCCAAAACGAGAAGTGCCCCCATCATCTGTGGTGGGAGAGGCGCCCAGCTCCCTGGCTGGGCTCCTGCCCACTGCAGTGCAGCAGATCCAGGGCCAGGCTGAGCGCAGCGCGGGCGCTGTGCGGGGAGGCTGCTGTGCCAGTGCCCCCGGAGCCGCTGCAGCGTCA